ACTAAATACTTCAGTTGCCTGGTCAAACAGCTCAAAAATTTTAGTTAACTCTTCAACCAACCTCCATTCATCTTCACTAGGCAAGCAACGTCTAAATTTTTGACTATCTTTTTTTTCATCTTGATTTCGTAAAATATTCAAATTAGCCTCAAGCTATACGATTGTATCCTTTAATTTTATTAGTCTTTTTCACGATCGATATTTCAAATTCCAACGTGTGAGACAATCTTTAACTAGCCGAAAGACTTGAGGTGGTGAATTTATGCTCAGTTGTTCTATTAAATTTCTGTTATCAACTTCATTAGGTTCTTTGTCTTCACTATATACTTCAGTATCAATTGATTCAAGAACAAGTAAATGATCTTTTTCTGCTATAGCTATTTGGGCTTTTTCTAGTTTTTCATTTTGTTTTGGAGAATCGAAGAATTTAACAAGTTTTTTTATTTTTTTTATATGTGGGCAGATTTTTTGTAAGACAAAATAACCATCAATTGTAATGTATACGCTGCACATAGAATTTGTTCAACAGAATTACATTTTTGAATTGCCTTTATCATATTAGTCCCATTGTTGGTAATAGTATATGCAATTTTTTCTTAAAGGTTAAATTGAATATATTTTTTAATAATAAATTGGTAAATAGAATCACCTGTATGGGGATGCGGTATTTTCTCATAGCAAATTGTTATGCTATGCAGTTTTCAATTGGGGGCTATCCAGTGACAAGTGATTTCAATATAGCCTTTCTTATTTTATGATATCTATAAATCAGTCGTTATTGTAGCAGTTTTACAGGAAAATACTATTTTATCTTGAAGAATGCTAATATTTTTTTAATAACTAAATACTATTTTATTTTTATTAAGCGATTAGAAAAAGAATGAAACTTTGAGTCAATTACTGCCATCATTCGACAGAATCCTTTTTTTTTATAGTGTGCTTAATGGTTGACTATCAAGAACGATTCATTTCATAATTGCTTTGCTATTTTTTGATTGTTTTGCATTTTTATGTGGGGTATTAGTATTGATTATTTCAGGTAATTTGGTTTGGTATGATTGTTAAATCATGGCTTTTAATTTACTATCATCTACAATGTATATATACTTATACAAATCTAGATAAGCTTGATCTAGATTGTATAAGTACTTTACAGGAATCTATAAAATATAGATAAAAAGTATTTTGTTTGAATATAATAATATATATATTGATTATTTATATAGTTATTGATAAAGTAGTAGAGTATAAAAGAGTTGTAAAAAGTAAATCAGTTATTGTAATAATCATATAGTTGTAAGGTAAATATAGTATAAGTAAGATATCGAAGTTATAATTTTGTATATAGGTAAAGTAATAT